TCCCTTCCCTTCCCTTCCCTTCCCTTCCCTTCATCAGCAGATTGTGTAGAGCATATGTACTGCATGTTATGTCAGAAACATGGAATTATTTTTAAGGTGCTGCTAACGATATGTTCATCACCACTTGACTTCCTTAGTGCAGGTCAGGAACTACAGAGTGAAGAAGGGTTTTATCAGTACAGCTTTGCTTCCGGTTGTTTGAGGCATTTTAATGCTTGTGACCTAAAAATTTCTGTGTGCTTTGGTTTGAAAAGCAGAGCAGTAGATGGCTTTTCAGAAAAGCAGGATCACAGCTGGCAGGAGATAAGCAAGGGATCAAATGTCTTTTCTTTCTCCCTGTCCTTTCTATCCCCAGAGCCTAAACATAGGATTTGCAATACTATCTGTGAGCCCCTGCTGTTGTTACATACTTAGACCAAATAGGTCCAGGTCAAGAACTGCTAAGTACACTGAGTAGAGAGTAACCTCCTTTCAGCCTTCCAAGAATACCTCTGACACTAGCCACTTTTTGCTGCCTTTTAGGAGGATCTTTACCTAAGCTTCTTACCTGTTATCAAAGGTGGGATGTGTATTGCAGGTGTATCTTTTCTCTTGGGCTTTTTCTGCTTCAGTTCACTAATTTGAGAGACTGCACTCACTCTCCCTCTCTGTGGCTTCTCTGTGGTACCATACCTTTTCAGCAGATAATCGGAGGAGTCTGAAAGTATGCCTGCAAGCAAGAAATAAAGAAAATGCCCCTTTAGCCTTGTTTACAGTGAAAAAACTTTCCCTATGTAGCTTTCCTAATCAATATTCTGAAGTGGCACAAGTGCATGAGCTGGTGCATGATGTACTTACCCTGTATTTCTTCCAAGTTAATATATATCATAGGCTCTAGAAAATTACTCTGTCAGGCCAGCTGCTTCTGATTTTACATAATGCATTAAAGTGCTGCCTATCAGAAATCATGGTACAGATGAGTGTTGTCTCCTGTTCCAGAACCTTAGATATCTTACCAGGGTAGCTTAATCACACAGATGCTCAAGGGGTTAGTTGGGAGCAATGTGACAACACAGAAATAGCTATTTTAATAGTGAAACAATGTTTTCTTTATGATATAACAATTGCAGGAAGAAAGTGCAGCTCTCCAGCCTCTGAGCCCCTCTTCCTTAATAGAATTGCTGAAGGAACATACATGTGAAAACAGAACAGAATCAAATTCGATATCTGGATTACAAATATTGGAAAATCCCAGATGCTTGTTTTTGACTTGGTGAATTGTTGCAGATATACAGGGAAGCATACAGGTAGTTACTGGCTAACTCTTCCAGGTATGTGCAGCATGGGAAGAAGAACTCAGTCACATAAGAGCACAGCTCTCTCCCTGGAGAATATAACAAGCAGTGCTTGTTAGCTGAAAGTGGCAAACACTTATTCCAACTGCAGTTCTTGGAACATCGTTGGATTTCAGTGACAGTCTCTTGCTTATTCTTCCCTTCCCCAGGTTGCTGCCATTGGATTTTGAACATCCATAGTTGCGTCACTGGAGGAAGCATCCTACAAGGACCCCCTTAGTTGCTGTGGTGGTTTCTGGCTTCCTGGAACACCTGCCCTTTGCCAGAGTCTCCAAACACATGAGCCCTCTGGTTTCCAGGAGGAACATCCTGCAGGTGGCTTGTGTGCTTCGCTGGTCTACTGTCGGTCTCATCCCCATTCAGTCTCCAACTGTGCACTGGATGTAAGTTTCAGGAGAAAATGCAGAGGCTAAATTTGATCCTTTTTGATTTTGGAGCATATCCAATTGAGACATCTAGCATGGCTCAGCAGCTGCTGATAAATACACATCATTTCACACATAAATGTAATGTAATTTAGCAGCAAGACTATGAGCTCCACGAAAGCCTGTTTTTCAGAGCATAAGMCTATTTACCCTGGTATTCCCAGAAGTGAGAGCAAACCCTTCAACTAACAGGGAATGTATTTGAGAAAGTCAGACTCTCTGTTCACCTGCCTTCCCAGATGCACATGCATGTAGCTGTGCTCTTGTCTTCATCCAAAAGGGCATGACTGAATTAACATTTTATGGACTTCACCCAGATTCAGTCCCCAGAGCTAAACTGGGATTTCAAAGTCAAGAGATTTACTGCTTACTTGTTAGAGGTGGTGGAGTGTGCAAAGCTGGTGTATCTTTCCTCTTTGGCTTCTTTTGTTCCTGTTCAGTGCTCTTGGAAGCTGTGAGGATTTTACCTTTTCTTGATTCTTTTTTGAGGTCACAGCTCTTAATCAGCTGCTCTGAAAGATCTTCTGCAGGGAAAGAATGTAATAGAAATTGAAACTTAGGGAAGTAATAAACCAGATGATGGAAAAAAAAAAAAACCCACTTTGACAACAGTGCTTTAATCCAAGTACATTAAAATGCCCAGGAAGAAAAATCTCATAAATATTTTAAAAGTAAGCAAAAGAGGCCTCTGTGCCATATTGCATGGGAGTCAAGTGACTTAGGTGGTCCTTCTGTTGTTGGCAGTAGACATAAAACAGAGAGCAAGAGTTCTGGGCAGCTTGTGTATTTATGTGTCAGAGGGAAGGCTGCATCATTTTGTGCAGAGGTCCACCCCTGCTTCATCCAGTGGTAACTGTGGATTGTGTCTTTAAGAGTTACAAGGGCAGTTTTGTGAAGGAAAGTTTTGCCTGTATAGGGTCAGTCTGAGGTACTGGTAAAATGAGCTAGTCAGTATATTGTTCTCTTCAAGAGCTGGCTTTATTTCCAGAGCTACTGAGTAATTGGTATTTGCTTTTTATTTACATAACATTACACTGGGTTTTTGTTTTTTCTTTAAAACAGTCCTTCTCTCATATGTCTCAGAGGGTCAACATGACTTATTCTACAAGGGTCTGTATTCCGAGTGCTTAGGCAAGCTGAAAACACTGAAGGTAGTTTGTTTTAGATAATACTGAAGATAACTTCAGGCCTGCTCTATGATCTCAGCAGCTTCTGACAAGCCTTAGTTAAATCAGCTGAGTGGTGAAGTGCCCTTTAACTGTGCCAGTTAGGCTGTGAGGCATCCATGACTTGGGAACTCTTATATGGTAAAGGTGGGAACTATTCTGACCATATTAGGAACATCAGCRGTCCGACCAAGGCAAGGAACAAAGGATAAGCAGTCATTCTTACTAGTTTTGTTAAGACATTTATCTGAGTTATAGCCCAGTGTTACAAGACCTTTTGAAAACATGAATCATAGTTGGAGTGTAATAGTTCTACTGTTACTGGACATTTGGGGGAAAATCATCTTGTGACACTACAAACAGTAATGTTAAATAAGGCTATTTGAGCTCTCTTGGAACACAGTGGGCCTCTGAGAGGGATGCTTCTTGGACCTTGAGAGCCATCAAGTTTGCAATACTTGAAATACCAATGCTCACAATGAGTCTAGGCAGATACCACCTCAAAACATACATACTCCTTGAGGTGCAGCCCATGACTGTTGAGAAACACTAAGGGATTTGAAATGAGTATTGCACTGAGCCTGAGGGGAATTTTTGATAGGTATCTCTACACTTATAGGTATAGATGTACACATATTTTTCTTTTCCCTTTCTCCTCTTTAATTGACTTCACTCTAGAACTTCAGCTGATATTTATATGCAGCAAAAATGCTCTTTGTCTTTCCATCTGGCACTAGAAGCATCAGCAGAATGTGTAATCTGTTTTCATGGGAGCTTAATTGTATCGCTGGAGGGGAAAAATGGACAATAGACAGAACTTCATGAAGTTCATGATGTGAAGGCAGCACCCCTCAGTTCAATGACATCATCAAATAACAATTACCTAAATGGTTGGATTGTGAATCTTGCTTGTCCAGTCTGTCCTCTGGGATATCAAATGTCTGAACACAGTCTGTTGACATCATTGAAACAGTCTTTTCTCCTCCTTTGAAGATAGGACATCACATTAAAAAAAAAAAAGTCAGCAGCATAACATAAAACTGATATATTGGTGTTACATAACCACGGACAAAGATTTCTTGTCTTCCAGCAATCTGATGACCTGAATTTTTACTCACACATGCTGCAATGCAGTTATTCACTGCCTTGGATACACATGCAGTAACCTGGTTTTCCACATACCTTGCTGTAAAACAGCCCAGAATAGCATGGATTGGCTCTACACAAGAATACTGACTTTAAGCATACAGAAAGTGCTATTTCATAAATAAAGGAAATGCTAGGAATAGGGTTTTTTTTTTCTGGTTTTCTTCTCCATTTTTTCTCAACTGTAAATAAGGATCATATTTTATGTTTATTATATGAACCAGCTTTAATTATTAATTCTGTGGACTTAGTCTTATGACTAAGTCCAGCTCCACTAAGACACCTTGCATACCTCAGAACAATCAGGTGTCCTCAAAAAGATGGCCAGTCCCCACAGACCCCATAACCATCATGAAGTAAACTTACTCATCACTTAGATAAGAGCATGGAAACTCATTTCACACAGCTATTTAAGTGTCAATGCACTCTAGGTCTCACTGGATTGCTCTTTGGGTTATTTTGTTCCCCTTTACTTATAGCTGCAGTGGGTGTTGAAGCCCATCTTCACCCATCCTCCTAGATGAACTTCCCCAGCATCTTGCAAGCTGAGATTTGATCCTGGAGCTGCCACAGATGTCACCACAAAAAGAAGAAAATTAGACCATTTTTCACTGCTGACCATTTCTATGGTTGCCTAGCAGAAACTCAGGAGAAAGACAAAAGTAATGTTAAAGGAAAAAAACCTTCAACCTGAAGGTGTAGTCCAAGTGATCTTGGTATCTGCCTTCATCCAACATCARCAGTGGTAGTTTCTTATTCACAACCGCTGTTCTCCATTTTCAGGGAATAAAAGCAGACTGTGACTTCCATGTAAGGAGAAGAAAGCCAATGAGGAAGAGAAAAAAACTGGAGACATTATGAATACTAAATGTAAGACAGAAATAATTGGGAAGAAATAGAGGAAGGGGAGGTGGAGAAGGAAAGGGGAAAAAAAGGAAAGGTAAAAAAGAGGCAGCTGGAGAAAAACAGTGAAAAAGGAGGATGGGAAAATAGGAGACGAAACTGTGGGAGTTTGGTTTTATCTTGCTGGAGGAAAAGAAATTACCTTATTATTTTTCTGTAAATTGCCATGGTTGTATGCTAACAAGAAACAGAACAGTAGGGGAGTTAATCTCATTTCCATGACTAAATTTGCATCTATGTAAAGAACAATTAACCCTTGAGCAAAATCCAGTCACATATTTGCAAAAGAAAGTAGGAAAGGTTGCACTGATGTAATTCTTCAGCATATGAAAAAATATGTCTTAAATGCCAGTGACTAAAACATAAGTGGAGTAATAATGCCTGGCAGGATAAAATTTGACTCAACTCATGTCAACATCAGAAGCTGATGTTGACTAATACTGAACATATGGGATTAACTCCCTTACGTTTCACTAAAATTTACAGATTTGTAATATTCTACAATCTATTAACCTTATTGAATCAGGCTTGGATAAGAGGTTTGACCCCCAGATGTTCAGTGTAGAGCTGCCCCAGTCCAGCCTCACATCTGTACTAAAGAATTATGCTGCCTGAAGGCTCAATTTGCCTTCACTGCAAGAAAATTTCCCCACTTGGGAACACCCTACAGAAATAAATCTTTGAATGCACATTAGCATGGTATGGTTGCGCTGTTTATCCACTGAATAAAGAAGTTATAGCTGTGATTTGAAATGAAGATGATATAATTTTATTTAATACAAAATATATTATCTGGCTATATGAAGGTTCACACTATGTTTTGTGATTGGAAGAAGTTTTATTCTTCAGGGTCATTTGATTTTATTAGGTTTGATTAGGGTGTGCTGACTAAAAATTATGATTTTAGGTAAAATGTTCTTTTCTGAAGAATAATCTGTTTACAATGTTTTCATTAAAATCAGGGATACTATTTTGGAGACTGTGGACTTTTTTTGTTTTTAACAGGTCTTGAGGCAAAAAGGCTGATAATAAATTGCAAAATTTAAATATAAAATTGGTGGTAAATTATATTTACTGGAAATATCTTATGGTTAGATTTCAATAAGTTGTTGCATTGAATTATTTCACCTAATAAAAATTAAAGCTTTGTAAAGAGACTTAATATAGGATTGTTATATACAGATTATTGAGAGAATTGCTTCTTTTTTTCCTAATATGGTAGTTTGAAAAATATTATTCTAAAATTAATCTCTTAGATCTATGTTCATATTTTCATAGTCACACATGCCAAGCCCTTGGCATCTTCAGTGCATTAAAATTCTGTTTTATAGACTAACTTCTGACATTCCCCTTTCTTTTCTTTTCTTTTCTTTTGTAAGTCTGCCCTGCAGCCAGCATTGCCTTGCTTACTTGTTTCTGCATTGCACTTTGTAACAGTCCGTGTGACAAAGGCATAAAAAGAGAAAAATTACCAAAATATATAATGGATTTTGGTATCTTGGGGGTACAACATGTGAACCTGTAAGTGTTGTTACATCCTGTCACCATGGGTTACACATAAAGCTCTCCTTCAAAGGAAAGCTGCTGAATGTGAGCATTGTAACTGGGCTTTTCCAAACCACTAAAATAAATTCTTGCCACTAAGGAAACAAATTCCACAGTAATATTTTGTATGGGAAGGTAGCCTGCTATGGGGATTGCATGAAGTCATTTATAAATTGAAGCCTTTCATGAAGTCATTTACAAATTGAAGCCTTTCATGAAGCCTTTACAAATTGAAGCATGTTCTCAGATTTTCATGTATTAAGTACAACACTTTTTTTCCTAGCAGCCTTCACATTAGCACAGTTTGCACACTGCTGCCATCAGTCACCTCAGTAGCAAATGCTTGCTATTCATGTGATAGGTGGTTTTCTGAAGTAAGGTGTTTTTTTCTTGCACTCTGTTATGTCTCTTGACATCATGATCCACATTCATCCTTTGTGCATCTGTAATGGTTACATTGGAGGTCCAAATCACACTCAGTAGAAGATACTTCCTGAGATGATATAGATTTTCTGATATGATTTAGGATTCAGTAGTTATTTAGGCTGAGACCTTGGAACAGTGCAGCTAGGTAATGCCACCCTCTGCAGGGATATGTCCTTAAGGGAGTCACCTCGAGTCTCCTACTTCTAGGAAAAGAGACAGCTGATAGAGACACAATGCTTCCCTAAAAGTTGAGGCTTTGCCTACATAGTTTTGCATTGCCCCTTGTTAAAATGTTTGGCATTAAGATAGGATTGGCTCTACTTACAGACAGTGAAGGGCAATGACTGATAAGGCAGACTGAAAAATGCAGATATTAATAAAAGCTACTTCATCTTCATGTGAATGAGGTCTCATTCTGAATGACTGTCATATAACATGACTCCTTTGGGCATACACACTTGTAAGACATGCTGATTCACATAAAAACTATTTGAACTTTTCACTTTCTGGATATAATCTTTGGATTTTCTGATAGCTTAAAACACAGGCTAAATTTTTTTTCAAAATGCTCAGTTGCTGTACCTCTTTGATTAATGTGCCCAAATAAAGTTATGCTATCACTTCCTAACATAGTCCTAAAGCATACAAATACTTGCAAATAATATGATTCCTTTCTTCACTTAAATTGTGGGTTTCCATAGAAAAGTTCACCAATACAACCAGTTCCAGGCTTCATTTAGGTAATAAAATTTTGCTACAGACAAATAAAGAAATCTGTTTTGGTTTTTTAATGTGCAGTTGGTTTAATGTAGATATCTGTCGCAAGTAGTCAGCCTAGAGTTTAGGGAATACTCAGTACAGCTACTCTCACATATTTATAAGATTATGTAAATCTTTTAAGGTGTGACATAATAATGTGACATTTAAACCAACTTAAAATGAAATCTCATGAGAAAAACTTTCAGTCTTGTAAGATAGAAAACTAAAGTTTTAAGAACAAAACTGAATTGCTGGACTTATTTTTCATTTGATCTTGAACTAGGCATGGAAATRGCTTAGGGAGAAAATCTCCATTTCTTCTCTTCATGTTTGAACGGTTGTGAGGGCTATGCAACTACATGGAAATTAGGTACCTATGGATAGTTGCATGTAGTCTGAAGGGACAATGCCATTCTCAAAAGCCTCACTAATAGGTAATCATTCTTACCTATAAGATGGAGAAACTGAAGTTCTTATATGCAATTCTTATAAAAGTTTATAGGGGTTATATGGGCATCAATATCAATACTCCTCACCATTATACATTAAAGCTTGTGGTTTGGTTTCTTTGTATATTGAATACTTAGAATTTCTGAACTGGCCCTTTGTAAGGTATCCACAACCTGTGCTTCTGAAGACTTCAGGAGACCATGTGGTGCATGTGGTATTGTACATGGATTTCCTTTTCTTGTTCAGGAGAAAGTTTTTTTTTCCCCACAATTGACAAAATCTCAAAGAAAAACATGCTGATTTCCAGGGCATGCATAATTATTAAAAAAAAACATTGGGAAGTTCACAAGGATGCTACATAAATAAAAGTACTCTCGAGAGAATCCTTGTTGGGTGGCAGCAGTCCATTTAACTTTAATACATTCATTTTGATAGTTGGTAATAATGTTGACACAGAAGCCTGTTTGGACCTATGTACATATCTTCTGAAGCCTGCAATTCCTAACAACATAGAGAGAAGCAGAGGCAGAAACAGAAGCAACTAGGGTCCTGGGGCGGTACAGCATGCACTCTTGTTTGTCAGCATTGTCATAGGCAGGGTCTGGCCTTGCTGCTGCTGGTGTACTCAATAGCTGGAAATAGAAGTAAGTAGGAGTGTCTTAAAAACTGCTGCCAAATGTAGACACAAGGCAGAGGCTGGACTTCATTAGTCACAGTCCAGCCTGGACAAAAAGCA